AAAAAAAAAAAAAAAACGACTTATGTGAGAACAACTTATTCAAAAAATTTTATTTAATCAATTGTTCGAAGTTGTTGTTCAACTTAATTATACACGATTGCTTTTTCATCAAGTCAATTATGAAAAATTTTCTTTTTTTGTTTTTGTTTTTGAAGTCATCTTTACTCAATAAACTTTGTATCTTAGTTATGGTGTAGTCTAAAATTATTCTCAGTTGTACTGTTAAATTAAATTTTGTTCGACTGACTCATATCAGTAGATTTGGAACTAGACTAGTTGGGTTTTATCATTGTCTTTTTTCTTAATTTTTAGAGCACTAGAGTTACTGTATTGCACATACAATGATGTCCTCAGATCGTACTGAATAAATTGATCATAGTCACGAAAAGATAGTTAATCATTAATAGTTAAATTATATTTAAAGTACAGATTGTTTAACTCGATATTTTAAATTTATTTTTTTGGACTAATTTTAATAGACTGTCAGAAACTTCCAATGACTTGTAACTTTTATTTTATGTTTATCATTATAAAAATCAGAAAAAAAAGATTTCGTTCGACTGTAAAAGTTATGTTGATAGCTAGTTTCATACAACATAGAACATGTTTAAATATTAAAAAACATAAAGCTCTGAAATCTAGTATAAAAACTAAAATTTAATATTCATTGTCTTGTTGAGAAACATTTCAGTTGTATTAACTAATACCAATGCCAAAATATAATTGAATATTATGTTATTCTTATGAATTACTAACTGAAATAGTTTTGAAAAATTTTCTTAGTATTGAATATATGGAATGCAAAAGTTTAAAATAGAAGTTATTATTTACGCAGAGCTTCCAGAACTCTATGAGTATTATATTTTACGTTAGTATGAAGCCGAAGAAAATAAAAATAAAAAAAAACTTTTTCTTAAAAGAACTAGTTGTTTGATTGATATGTTAAATGGACCGATTTTTCACTGATTCAATTTTGTAATTGAACCAGTCAGATCGATCTCGCTGAAAAACATTTTACCGGCAATAAGTTTGGCCTTCACCTCTTAGTATGTTGACAGGGATTGTAAATGATTATTAATGTCAGATTAATGACCTATAGTTAATTTTTACTTCATATGATGAATGAACATAGATTCTACTATCTTGAAACTAAAACGAAATAATATTTTTTTAAGCGAAGATACTTAGCCGAAATATGGTAAATATGTTTTCGAGAATGACTTTACTTACAGGCAATTTGTTGACAATAAAACCATTATTTCTTATATAATCTATCATATATTGTTTGTTCGAATTTATTCAAATTTACTAAACATTTCAAAAATCGAGCAGTCAGATTTTTTTTTTGTAACCTCTAATATTCAAAACAAATTTATTCAAGAATATCATTTAATCATATCTGTCTCGATTTCTATTTTTGTTTTTAATTGAACGAGAATGATAATCATTATCAAAACGGCAATCAATATTTTCAGATGACATAAAATAATTTAGAACAAAAAAAAAATGATTAATATCAATTTTTTAATATTAAATTGAAGAAAAAAGAAACGTTTCCTTTAATTTTAGTGGTGTATCACATCGTATAAAACGTTTACATGATTTAATTGAATCTGATCTTGAATTTCATCAATTTGATGATTTTAGTCCATATGATGTATCTGATGTATTAAAACAATATTTTCGTTCATTACCTGAATATTTATTTACAACAAAATTATCACCATTATTTCTTAATATAAGTGAACATTTTTCTACAATATCAACATCAACATCAATTGATTCAACATTAATTAAATTAAATAATGAACGTCGTTTACGTTCATTACAATATGCTGTTCTTTTATTACCAGATGAAAATCGTCTTGTTTTACATTTACTTTTATCATTTTTAAATGATGTATCAAAACATTCAAAAACAAATCAAATGAGTTCAATTAATCTTGCAACTTGTTTTGCACCAACATTATTTTCATTTTATAATTATAATAATCATAATAATAATAATAATACTAATAATAATAATGATACGAATGATTCAATATCAACATCAATACGTAAAACTTCACCAACAATTATTTCTTCAAATATTATGGGTATGCCTGATTGGAGAGAAATTCAAGAACAACGTAAAGCTATGGAAATTCTTTCATTTATGATTGATAATGTTCGTTTATTATTTCTTGTACCTGATGAACTTCATCAAGCATGTCATTTTTCTTATATTGAAATTGGTGAACCATGTACACTTGATGAATTATCTCGACGTATATCAGAAACAACAACATCAATCACAACTACAACAACACCTATTTTAAATAAATATCGTCGATGTTCATCAAGTAATCTTGTTGGTAAACGTACAGCACAACAACGTGCAACAGAAATTGGTACAATATCAGCATCAGATTCAATTGGTTCATTATCATCATCACCATCAGTATCATCATCATGTGAAAATATGCTTTTAAATGATAATTTAAGTAGTAATCATTGTTCAACATCACCAACAACAATAAAATCATTTTCATCATCACGTTTATTTAATGATGATACAAATACTTCTTTACAAGCATTATCATCATCATTATCATCAACAACAACAACAACAACACCAAATATAAAAAATTCTTCTTCGTATCAAGGTTTTATTGATCGTTGTATTGTTGAAGTTATGCGTGAATCATGTTCAAATAAATTAAAAGGATGGACATCATTTGGAATAAATAATGAATTAGAATTAGCATTTAAAAAATTAGATGATGGTCATCCACTTGGATTATGGAAATGTTCCGTAGAAATTGAAGCACCACCTATTGAAATATTAAATCGACTTTTAAATGAACGACATTTATGGGATGATGGTATGTATAAAAAATTTTCAATATTTTTCTTTTTTTCTAAAAACATAATCATTAATTTTGAAATATGCTCTACTAAAATTCATTGAATTCTATCAATAAATTTTTAGATTTTCAATCGGGTTCAATCATAGAACAGTTAAGTCAAAATACACATGTTTATCAATATACACTTAATTCAATGGTATAAAATATATTTGAATTTTATTTTAAAAAAATCTCTTATACTATTTATTTTTTTTTGTTGTTGTTGTTTATCAGGCTCCTCTAGCATCACGATATTTTTGTGAAGTACGTAGTTGGAGAACAAATATTCAATTGAATACAAATGGAAATTATCAAAATTCCATATCAACAAATAATAGTAATGTAATAACACAACCAGTCGGTTCATCATCATTAGCATCATCAAGTGCAATAGCATCATTTGATACAACACAAAATCCAAATAATCAAAAACGAGATGCTTGTGTACTTGTTTGTACATCGATTGAACATCCAAAAGCACATTGTCCACCAACACTTGGTATATAGTTTATTTAAAAGAAAAATGAACAATTTTCATATTATGTTTTGTTTAGTTCGTGCTGTTACATTAGCTTCTCGATATTTAATACAATCTGTTGGTAAGAATGATAGTTTTTTATTTATTATAGGCGTAGAAAGTTTTTTTTTTTTTACATTAATTTAGGTTGTGGAAAATCCAAAGTAACACATTTAAGTCGTGTTGATTTAATGGGACGTTCTCATGAATGGTATACAAAAGCATATGGTTCAATACTAACTCGATCAATGACTAAACTCAGAGATTCATTTACTCATTTAAATACGGGACCCGAAACAAAAGTCTGATCTTATGTGATTTGATGTTATTTGTAAATAATATCAGTGTGTGTGTGTGTGTATTACAAGAAAAAAAAACTAATAAGCTTTTGTTTTTCTTTTCTTTTTTTTATAAAACAAATGAGACATCGTTATTTATTCGTTAATTAAACAAATTGCGATTGAGTTTTGGTCTGTTTTTTTTTCTACGCAGATGCGGCTTTTGCTTCTGTTTAATATTGTTTTTCTTTTTTTGCTTTTTGTTTTCTGTATTTGTATATTATTTTCTTTTTTTATGTGATTGACTGATATATTGAATGAGATTGAAAAAATATAATGCAGAAGATGAAGAAAAAGAACAGAATCTTCTCATAATCTTAACAAAAAAATATTTAATATAGAATTATATATCAATAAAAATGATGATTGTTTTAACAATCATGATTATCTGTAAAATTATTTGTAATAAAAGATTTAATCAATCTATTTGATTGAAAATACTATTGGAAGATATTGCAGAAAATTGTACTGATTACAATTCGAAATATTAATTATGAAATCAACGAATCTTATACCTATAACTATGTATTTTGAAAGAACATTGAACTATACTATTTAATAGTGCATGTGTCATCGTTGCAAGAACATTGATTGTATTCATTTAGTTTTTCTTGTTTTGCATGTTTATTTTTACATTTTCAATTGAAATGAAATTTGATGAATCTTAAATATTCTTAGATTTAAGTTTCTACTAAATCATGAATAATATAAATCTTCATAAAATAAAAGTATATGATATATCAACAAATATATTTGTTTTTTCTGAAAAGTAAATAATAGTGTTGATTATTTCATTTGAAAATTATATATTAGCACTGATATTCACTGTTGTTGATAAACGCTTAATATATTTCTTTCATCTGATTCATTGTGATAAAGTTTTTTTTTATTGATATAAATTTATTGTTTTCTTAATTATCTATTTTTTAAACTAATCAATATGCTAAACAAATGTGATTCAATAGTTTTGTTTATCTATGACATAGAAAGAATGATTCTATAACGAATACGGCCTGTTACACAATGACTTATGTTTTTCTTATTTCGATTCGTTATTTTTTCTTATAAACATGTGTATTTCCGTTCTTTATCTTTTTTCTTTCTAAATCTATCGTTTATACAATGTATTCAATATACTAGGATGTGTATCTTTCAGAATTTTATTGTTTTAATTTGATTTTATATATTCTAGATCGTTGTTGTTCTATTTTGAGATAAGCCTGAGTCGAATTAAAAAAAAAAAGAAGAAAAATCTCAATGGGAATTGAAGGTCTTCATCCTTTGCTTAAATCAGCTATACATCGTGTAAATATAAAAAATGCTGAATTTCAAGGAACAACATGTGCTGTTGATACAAGCTTTTTACTTCATCGAGGTGCTTATGCATGTGCTGGAAAATTAGCACAAAATGAATCGACTGATAGGTGAGTAAATCTCGATCTAAATCATGATATTAAATATGTTATCGATTTTCTTTTATTTAGATATGTTCAATATGTTACACGATTTGTTGAAAGATTACTTGAATGGAATATAAAACCTATCATGGTTTTTGATGGATCACCATTACCAGCAAAACGAATAACTAATATTAATCGTAGCGAGTATGTTTAAAATGTTGATATTGATTGAAAATAATTCATTGTCTTTTTTGTTTGAAGTGAACGTGAAAGAAATCGATTACGTGGACAAAAAGCTCTTGCTAATGGTAAAACTCGTGAAGCTGAACAATTTTTTCAAAAAGCTATTGAAATAACACCGGATATGGTTTTGAATGTTATTCGAGTATGAAATTCGATTTGTTTTTTTTTTTTTATTTTCTATTTTCATATTAACGTTATGCTTTATTTATTTGTTTTAGACTCTTCGAACTATGGGCATCGATATTATTGTTGCACCATATGAAGCGGATGCTCAATTAGCATATTTAAATAGAGCAAAAATAGCTGATTATGTTATAACAGAAGATTCAGATCTTGTTCTTTTCGGTTGTCATCATGTTCGTAATCAAAAAAAAAAAAACAATAAATAGATTTTATATTTTTTATGAATTTAGATTTTATTTAAACTTGATGAGCAAGGAAATGGTGAATTATTTGAAAGAACAAAATTTGATTTGAAAAAAGAATTTGGTCTTGATAGTTTTGAACGTTTTCGTTGGATGTGTATTCTATCTGGATGTGATTATCTTGAAAATATAAGTGGAATTGGTTTAGTAAAAGCAAAAAAAATTATGAGTAGAACTCAAGTAACAAATATTGAATTGGTAATTTTGACATGGTACCTTTTTTTTTAAAAAAAAAAATATTATTCTTTTGTTTTTTGTTTGTTGATAATAGATTCTTAAACAATTACCACAAAATCTTGGCAAATTAAATCTTCGTGTAACTGATGAGTATATCATAGGTTTTAAACGTGCACATCTAGCATTTCTTTATCAAATTGTCTATGATCCTATACAAAGAAAACAAGTACCACTTAATCCATTACCAGATGATATTGATCATGATCAATTAAAATATGCTGGACAGTATGTTAGTAAGATGTTGACAATTATAAATTTGAGCAAATTTTTTTTTTAAATGTTGTTTTAATTTTACTTGCTATAGGATTAGATAAATAGAAAGTCGACTCCAGTGTTTTATCTAAGTTTCGTTTCCCGAGGGGGCGAGTCGAAATTTCGAGTGGGCAGCACCCACTCGACCCACCTAGTAGACGAATGACTGCTGTATATTTTCGAGTGGGCGAATCAAAATTTCGGGTGGGCGGCGCCCAGTCAGTAGATAAATCACTGGTCTACTCAATATTTAAAACAAATTTTTGTTCTTACTCTCTCTCTGTTTGTTTGAATCGTCTGACTTGTACTTCTTCGCTAAGGTCAAAATCTGATGACAATTTATTTCAAGTATTGAATATACTATATAATGCAGAGTCGCCTGCTGGTTTGAAATATGATGTTTATTTCGTGTGAAAATGAAGTTCTAACACTCAATATCTTTGCATAGAAATCTACATTTATGGTGTTTGATTATCATATGAAAAAAAATTGTTTTTTTTTAACAGTGATAGAATCATGTATTATAGTTTTTCTAAATATGAAATGAGTTTTTCACAGGTAAATCAATAAATTATATTCAACCATAACAAAAAAAAACTAATATTGCTCAAATTTCGAATTGCTAAGCATCTTAGCAATTAAAAAACTTAAATTTTTCGTAAATATCTTTATTAATTTAGAATTGATCATACACCACTTGCATTTCAACATGCAATTGGCAATTTAAATGTAAAAACAAAATGTATCGTTGATAATTTTGATCCAAAGCAATGGAAAGTAAATCATGATTTTAGTTATTTTTTCAAAAAAAAAACTTTCTTTCTATTAGTATCGTTCACCTGGATCATCACCATCATCTACTCCGGCACATCTTAAATCAATTTGGAGTAAAGAATACGTTGTTCGTTCTAAACCATTTTCATTATCATCAACACCAATCAATCAAAAAATACTTTCAACACCATCACCACCAAGAAAAATTCGTTCACAAACAGATTCAATATCTATTTCAACATCTGATACATTAACATCATCAGCTATTCTTAATATGTATTTACCAATATCAAATGAAAAGAAACCTGATATGCCAACAAAAACTTCTTCATCTACTGAATATCATACATCGATAATTCAAAGTATTGAAGTTGTTAAACGACCACTTCTATTTAATCAATATGATAATGATACATGTAGTCGATTTTTTTCATCATCTACTGTAACTAAAACAAGTGTATTTGATGCAATTAATGAAAATCAAAATATTTCATCAAATAAAGAAAAACTTTCACCAAATAATGTTAATAAAAAATTTAAAGGATCAAATATGAATAATGTTGATGATGATGATGATGATGAGTGTTTATCACAATCAACTAGTCAAAGTTCAATTGATAAATTTATAACACCAACAAAAAAAAATCGATTTGTATTAAAAAGAAAATCACCAAATATTGATAAACAATTATCACCAACAGATGATTCAAATATAAAAATATTTGATCAAAATACAGAAAGTTCTGGTACGATTTTTTTTTTTGTATGAAGAAAACAAAAAAAACTAAATAAATAAATCATTTATTATTTATTTAGAATCTTCATCAACATTAACATTTCAAGCTAAATCACCAGTACTTCAATTACCTCAAAATCTTCGAAATCATTTTGCTAAACAAGCGTAAGTTTTATTTCAATTTTTAAATTTCAATTTTATCTTTTTTCTTCTAAAGTACATCTCGAATGGTTCAACTAACATGAACAAAATAAATTGCTTCTTGTTTCATTTTTTGATTATATCATGCATGTATTAGTCATTCTCAAATATTTTCTGTCTGTGCGTGTGTTTGACTTCATAAGAAGTTTGTTATGCATATTGTTCTCTCTTTCGTCAGATATTTACTATTATTTTTTTCCCCTTGTGTCTTTTCTTGTCTTTCTTTTCTTTTTTTTTAATTTCTTGGTAGATTCGAATGAAACTTGTGTATGTGTATAGACAGATATTTTTTGGCTATGTTTATTATTATTATTTTTTTTTTGTGTCTACAAGTACTATGATATATTTCTGAAAATGGATAGAATTACATTTATGAAATATTAATTTTCATCCGAATCATCAAGCGAATGTTCACATACACTCCAACCTGACATTCGTCGTTGAGTTGTTGGCATATATGTTGTTGTTGTTGTTAAAGTTGAATCAAAAACTTGTCGTAAAGGTGATGAATTTGTCATAGTATTAGATAATCGACGACGAGTAACCTCAACAGTATCATGTTGATGTTTATTTTTTATTGGTGATGATGAATGACAATCATTTGATTCAGGTGTTTGTACAAAAATATCAGATTCAGACATACGTGGTGTTTTTATCTGTTTAGTCTTTGTTTTATAGTCACTATTGATTAATGGTGTTGTTGGTGGACGATGTCTTACAGTATCCGTATTATTATTATTATTATTATCTTTAATTGTTTGAAATGGATTTATATCGGTTGGTAGTGGTGTTATATCATCTAGTGACGATAACAACTTTTGTTGTGAAGCGGATACATCTGGTGTTGATTCGAACCAATCATCTACAACACCAACACTTGATTCTACTGATTGTGTTGTTGATTGACGTTCGAATGGATGTGTTGTTGGCATAGCTATAATAAATATGAATATGATTAAGATTGTATAAAATTTGAAAAAGAAAAAGAAATAAACTTACTTGAAACTTGTTGAGAATTAATTTTTGATAGATTTTCATTATTATGAAGTATACTTCCACATACTTTACATACACCATCAGACGTTATCAAAGACATCGAATTAATATCTCTTCGTTCCATTGGTAAACTAGAATTTCCCATATATTGATTAAGTGTATAAGGTGCATTTGTACGTAGTGTTGATAATCTATTTCGATATCTTTCTCTATTTCTTTCTCTTCTCGGTTGAAATATATTTTCATCATTCAATAATTCTTCTTCTTCTTGTGATTTAATAAATGATTTATGAATTAATTTATTATCACTTTTTTCTGATATATCATGTGATAATCTATGATCATCATATGATTGTTGTTGTTGAAGTTCGTTTGATTTTATAGATATGTCTGATTGTAAGATTTGTTCTTTATCACGTGCTTGTCTAGCTATTTCGGCAAGTTTTTCTCGATGTTGACGACGTTCATTTTCATCATGAATCTGTTGTTTATATTTAATTAATTGTCGTACCGAAGGTTGTTCATGTGTTTGTTCATATGGAAAATCTTCTGAAATTGAATCGATTGATGCATTTATTGTTGATGATATATTTGATTTTAATTTTGTTGGTTTAATAAGTTCTTCTTCGATTATATCACGATCTGATCGAATATCTTTTCCTAATTTAACAGCTTGTTGACTTAAACGATTAGCAAAAACAAGATTTCTTAAATTTATTTCTGGTACTTGTTGTGAATCAGTTGTCTAAAAAAAATATAGATTGAAAATATAGTTTTTTATTTCGGTTTTATAGAAAGAAAAAAAAAACATTATTTACATCATGTTTAAGTAAATCATGAAAATTTGGTCCAATGGTTGATGTGGTAAAAATATCACTAATTTGACTTTGATTAGATGCGCGACGTTCTCTCATGTCTACTTCATTTGTATTTTCTATATTGACCTTAGAACGCGGTGATGTGATTGGTTTTGATTGTAAATTAGTTAGCGCAGTTTTTGAAATGATATCAGCATTATTATTATTATTATTGTCTGCAGATGTTTTGAATGATTTTGGATATTTCACTTGAAGATATTGCACAATAGCAACCACTGGATCAGATGGCATTCGTTGTACAAGATTATGTGTCAATTCTTTGAACAAACTTTCAATATTATTTTTTCTCCAATAATCTTCTAATTTAGAAGATTTTGCCATGATTGTGTTTGTATGATATTTGTCAGTGTGCGTTATTTAGACAACATGAGGATATATAGAAGACATTAATCTTGTTCTTATCTTTTACGTTGTCCATGAACAACCATCAGAAAGTAATCATACCTATGCGACAAATCATTCATTTGATCTGGCGACATCATCAGAACGAAAAATCAAAGATTTCGTCAAACTGTAAGAATATATTGGGACTTGTTGTTATCATGTACAACAAGATATAAAAAGACGAAAGTATTTTAACAAATTAAATTGTTTCTTTTTTCTTTTTTAACCAAAAAAAAAAATATACATATTAGAATTAATAAAAAAAAGAGTACCATTATTTATAATATTTCAAGAAAAAAAATATACATGTACTAAGTTTCATTAGAAAAATACTAATCAAGTGTGATTATTAAGATGAAGAAGACCAAAGTAAAAACAATTAGTGAAATAGAACACTCATATATAGGTTTAATCTGATTTCATATAGCACTAAATCATGATTCATGACCTAAAATATTATGTCAACACACAAGAATATGGTTATTTCATATAGTCTATCATTAGTAACAACTAAAATTCCAAAGATTATAACTTGAATATTAAATTGAACCCTTTGAGAATCGACATGTTTTTACGAGAAAAAAGTTGAATTTCCGTCTACAAAATCAATTATAGTTGAAAATTATAATTCATAACTGTTTCATTCAGACTTTATACTAAAGATATACGATGTTTATTTAGAAATAACAGAAACAAAATAAACATTCAAGAGGTACATATAACAAGTAATAATTAAATAACATATGAGAAGGAAAGTTAATTTATAAAGCGAAAAATGTTATTAAGTATGAAATTCATTGAAACAACTAACAATATCAAGACCTAGATTATAATCTTTCCCTAATTATATAGTATGGATCAGTCGTCTTTCATTGACTAGTGGGCGTGCACATAAAACATAAATTTTCTGAAGAGTGTTTCTATTTCTTGTGTGAAACGCAAAAGATGAAAAGTGTCTAGTAGTAAGTCCAGTTGACTGATAAATCAATGATGGACAACTTATTGTAGATTTTTTAACACTATACGCTTTTTTCCAACATTGGCTTTATAAAGCAAATATGTGATGAAGAATGACGAACAATACTGAGCTTAATAGATGTATACTCTATCTAGACTACTTTATAACTTCTATATGTATAACATGAATATTGAAATAAAATCAATTTTAGTGTATCTAAGGATTTCTTCACTGAATCAAATTTTGAAACCATACATGTACAGGTCCGGCTTTCAAAGATTTAGAGAGGAAAAAGATTGATAAGTGAAACAGTCTGTTTCCAATATTTTTTACCCAATCTCTTATAACGTATAGATTTGATTATACCTCATAGAATAAAATAGATCGACATACAATGTATAAAATTATTTAGAAATTGTAACATTATAATATTGTCTAAAAAAAACGTCTATCTATAAAAAAACAAAAAAAAAGTCTCAAAAGACTACTCAATAGAAAATAAGTTTTAATGAAGAAAATTCACGGTAATATGTTTCTAAATAATCGAAAAAGTCGAAAGAGTTCTTTTGAGTGTTTATCTATTCATGTATACTACAGATTCGTTTAGTTTTTTTTTTAATAAGGAAATAAAACAATGGCGTGCGAGATATTCTATATTTATTAATTTTAGTGTGGCACGAAAAACTTTTTCTTTCACTTAAATTGATTACAATTACATGTATATTTTATAATTAAAGAAGAAAATATTACATTCTTCTAAAATATGATTTCAATTAGTATATATTCGTTGATTGTTTGCTACTAATACATACACTTTATAAAGATCTTAGAAGTTATTTCGAGTAACTATTCAATTAAATGTTTGCTTACATGCAAGAGAAATCTTCAGAGCAACTTACTCGCCAGAGTAATTTTCATACTGTTACTCTTGACTCGTTATTACACATCATTCATAACAATATTTTTTTTTACATTATCCATAGATGTATATCATTCGAGATTTTTTTTCTTTCACAGATTTGTATATGAATATATGATATTTATATTTTGGTGTCATCGCACAGTAACGTTAATATTGATGAGAATATATATCAATATTTGTTTCTACAAAACTTTATTGGACAAATACTAAATGTTGAAAAAAAAATTGAATTGAATTAGTTTTAATAAACGTTCATGTCTATGCTGACATTGTCATGAAGCAAAAATATTAATGCAATAAAATATGATCAAAATTCAACAGAAAAAAAAAATTGACATTTATTTAATTAAGCAACATTTATTTGAATTTGATTATCTATCGAGGTAGAATGTAGTTATTTTAGCAGTGTTGAAAAACAAGAAATATTTGAACTTGAAATAAATGAAATGAGTCCAAATTAGAATACTTTTCATTGTCAATATTATTTCTTTCTTTGTAGATACTTTATGTATTTTTTTTTCTACTTGCAACAAGGCATTTATTTCATGATTTAGCATGTTTATTATTATTCTGCTATTTCATTTAATGTCATCGCGACATCAATGCAATGATAATTTTCTATCTATTGTAAAAAGGTTTATCTAGTATTAACAAGACATCTGATTGAATCTACTAGACAGTAACACACAATATTTCATTTATCAGTAGAGTTATATGAACAAATCAAATATTTAAGTTTAAATATGATGTTCGTGTCTTTTGCAGAAATTTACAAAAAGAGAAAAATTAATCTCCAACAATTTTTTTTGGTATCAGTCAAGTAAAGTCAGTTCTATAGCTATTTTATGAATTTGCTATAGTAACACTACTTAAATTCCATGCAATTGAAATCTATCCTTTTGAAAA